TGTTAAATGGAAAGGACGAGTTGAAATGATAACCGAGGTTGCTTGAATAGCCTCCGTTGGAGTAGAAGGAATGAGAGAATGGGATAAGGATTTATGGATAAGGATGCAAGAACCGGCATGGGAAGTGTTGTCGGGGTGGTCTGATCTATAAGTGATATAGTCACGTATGTAGAAATATGAACGTCGAGTGAAGTGAGTTTCTGTCAGTAGAGCAATATCAATGTGATAGTCATGAAGAAAAATGTCGAGTTCGTCTCGGTGGTTTTGTAGTCCGTTAGCATTCCATAAAAGAACAGCTAGGGGCTTAGTGCTCATCGTGAGAGATTGAAGGGAATTTCGGTAAGGATTCTTGTGAGGAGGGTAATTAGTGGCTTGATAGTCTCTTGGAGATCTTTCAGGAAGGACGCAAGGGTGGAGTTTATTAAATCGATCGGGTTTTGTTGGTCAGGTTGGTTTTGATTAGGAGTTCGTGAGGGAAAGATCTTATGATAAGGAGTGTCTGATGAAGGATGTACCCTTGGAACTTGGGAAGGAGAGTAAATATGAGCAGTAGGGTGGGAATAAACAGGAGTTGGATGTTCGGGCGGTAATTTTACACGTATAGGTATCTGGTGAGGAGGCATTTGCTGACGTGGAGATTTTGAATGAATGTGGGAGATTTGAGTCTTGGATTGGGAGGTCTGGATCTTAGGTTTGGAAGCCTGAGTCTTAGTTTTGGAAATCTGAGGCGTCTGACGTCGCGGCTGTTGATTCTTCACCGTAGTGTCTGAATATAGGTGCCTAGAGTCTTGATGGGGATGATCTGTTGATGTAGAAGGGTTGTGCGTCAATTGTGGTATTATTTCGTTCGGCAGTTGAGGAAACGCTGCCAAATTTAGGAGTTCAGGTGCCTGTACCTGTGCCTGGGTAGAATTCTTCTGTTCTTCTTTTAATGATAAATTATAAGTTCTTTGCTTATATAGCTTCTTATAGATAATGCAGCCCCGATAGGTTGCAGGGTGGTCCTCACCACAAAGGGCACATTTTGGTGGTTCATTTAACGGTTTCTGGCAGGTGTTAGAGGCGTGAGGCCCGGCGCATTTAACGCAACGCACCGAGTGATGGCAGTAAGCCTTTGTATGCCCTAAGTTTTGGCACTTGGTGCATTGAACGACTATTGGTTTCTGCCTCGGCTCTTCAAATTTTACAACAGAATACAGCAGTCTTTTAACTTCGAAGATTTCTGCATTATTCCGGGCTGGTTCTAGATCGATGAAAAATAATGGCAGTGGATATTTATCAATAGGATGTAAAATAGAAGATATATGTCTTACCGAATGGCCGATATCTTCCAGATCTTTTTTTATAGCGGTAGTGGGTGTGGTAGAGTGAAGACCTCTCAAAACCACTCTATATGTTTTGTCTTCTTTTAGTTGATAGCAGTGGAAGTCGTGATTGAGTGCTGTCAAATGATTTATAAGTTTTTTATAATCATCTTTAGTATTGGTGTTAATCTTTATATCGTTGACTCGAGAAAAACACCGGAAGTTGGTCGGTCCGATCAGATTAGCTATTTCTTGACCGAACTGAATGAAATTGTCAATCTTGCTTACATAAATCGGAGGTGGCACTGGTTCAGTGAAAGTTCTAGGTTCAGTGATTTCGTTAATTTTATTATTGGCTGTAACAGAATTGTTACTGGATGTGTTAGTTGATGGTTTAGTGTCAGGTTTCATAGCTGAATTATTACTAGTTTTTGATTGTTTATTTACTTTGAGAGCTTGCTTTGTTTTAGCGGATTTGTTTTTTTTTTTATTAGGTGAGTTGCCCGCCGAACCGGGGGCAGAGTTTCTATGGCGCTTTTGGAGAGTTCGCCTTGTTAAATATTGAGAATCAGTCTCACTGATTTCGGAGAAAGGAGTCTCTTCATCTGATTCGTCAAAAGAAATGTTCTTATCAGAATCCATACCTCTAAATAATAATATATACAAAAAGAAGAGAGAAAAAAAAAAAGTATCACTAATAAGAAAATTTACAAAACAAATACTTAATAACTAATCTATTTACAAATATATATACAAATATTAAAAAAAAACATTTTTATAAATAAATAAAATAGAGTCTCAGTAGAAAAAAAAATATTAAAATAAAATAATCAATTAAGAAATAAAAACAGAGAAAAAAAAAATATATACTGTCTTAGGTACGAACTCAAGATATTCTGAACGTAAAATAAAGCGCCGTGACCTTGAATTTGAAAGATAAGACCCGCTGAGGGGAATTATCTGCCACGTAAACTGTCTCTAGCAATCGAGTACCAATTTAATGTTGCTAATTGTTAATAAAAGTCAATCACCTCACTGATTGTAATGTAAAAATGTTAAATTGTTTATAAACTCACTGTTTACAAAGTCTGAGAACAGGATTTGAGATAATAAACACATAACATACTAGCAAAGACGGAACGATACGAATATAGAACCTCAGTTTCGGCCATGACACTTACGACGTAACTATAATTTTAAACCAAAAATAAACATGTATATATATATATATATATATATATATATATATATATATATATATATATATATATATATATATATATATATAAAACCATTATTAGAGAATCATAGTAGGATAATGCTAATTTGAATATGACTGATTGAGGAACTATTAAATTACTAATTGAAAACACAAGATTATACAGTTATTATCTGAATGGGTATCATGACTTATCTGTGGTTACTGCCGTGTTCATCATCTCCTAGTAAGTAGGTGGCCGAATGGGCTTTTAAATTCCCCGCTCTCACCCCCCGGCCCGGGAAAATCCCGTATAGCCTAAAAGGCGAGGTAGAGAAGAACAAAAAAAAAAAATCTCCCAGTAAGTCCGCTTCGCTCGAGTCCTTCTCGTCAGTGCCAAACTCTCTACTCCTCTCGACTATCCTACACCTCTGACTTGAATTCTATCCCAGACATATTATCTCTCTTCTTGACTCCAAACCAACCGCCTCTCTAGTCTTCTCTGACTCAGTATCCCCTATATTGAAGCGCTCTTTTCAGGACTTCAATATAGGGGATACTTTTCAGAGATTACTTTCAGAGATTTTCAGGACCGGAAATGGAAGATCGCTGATTTGATAGTCCTCTAAAAGGGAGGAGGCAGGGATAAACAATTCCCTACGTCATATAGACCAATTTGTCTCCTCCCTGTGATGAGTAAGGTTCTGGAGAACCTCATGATGACCAGGTTACGGCCGGTTCTTGATCAAGCAAGTCATCTACGGCAATACGGCTCTACCAGAGGCAGAGGAACCGCTGATGCCCTGCTGAGAGTCCGCACAGATGTTGAAGAAAGGGCGGAGCGATACGCCATGCTGCTCCTTTTTTACATATCCTTTATTAGTTTTGTTGGCCCTTCGTACTCCAGCAGCTGCAAAAATATGACGCTTCCAGAAATCTGTATGCGCTCGTAAGGAACTGTATTCAGGACAGGTGAGTGAAGATCAAAGGCAGCTTTAAGAGATAGAAGCTACCGTTGAGAGGGGATGCCCTCAGGAATCAGTATTTGGTCCTGCTCTATGGAAGCTGGTTTTTGATGAGTTGCTGATAGTGCTTAAAAATGACCGGTTCCCTGGCACTGCCTATGTGAACGACCTAGCTGCTGTAGTGGCGTCCAACAATAGCGCAGGGATCAAAGTAGCCGCAGAACGATGCACCAACCTTGTAGCAAGATGGTGTGTGGGAAAGAAAATGAAAATGGCTGCTGAAATGCGCAAGCCATCCTTTTGAAGTGCACGACTGATAGATCACACCCCATCAGCATGAATATAGAAACTGAAATAATACGCCAAAGTGAGGTGGTCTAAGGCCTAAATATAATATCTCACTTCAGTTATCTAGCATCTAAGGTGACTCAAGCCTTGAACTGACTCAGTCCTGTCGGGGGTGATTCAGGGGCCGCAGATACCCAGCAACAATGACGATCTATAAAGATGTGTAATGGGTATCTTGAGATATGCATCCCCCTTCCTGGTACAGGAACCTCACGCAGCGATAGCGAAAAAGGTTGGCGCCGATCCAGAGGATTGCGTTTCACCAGGGAAGAACATGAAACCAGGGAACCAGAGCATTAAATGTCCTATATTTTAGGACAACGCCATATGAAGAAGTGCAGGTCCTACCGGGGGCGGTACTTCTCGACCTCCTCCTGCGAGAAGATGTGACCAAATAAAAAGGCTTGGCAGGAGTTCCAGAAAATCTACGGATGGGGATTGTGGAAAGTGCCGACAAATCAAGCCAATGCCATTGTTTAAAATACCATTATATTTGTGTGAAAAACAGATGGAGTAACTAGATTTGTATTGTCTACCGTCGACATAATAAATAGAGTATTTGTAATGTGAATGGTCGTAATAATATGTTATTCGTTTATAATTAAATAATATATTTCTTAATATATATATATATATATATATATATATATATATATATATATATATATATATATATATATATTAATAATTCGTTTATAATAATAATATGTTAAATTTATAATAGTCCAACATTTCCAGAAAATAATTTATATTCAAAGCAGAGTGGTAAGTGAAAGTTGTGTGGTTCGAGCACCAGATATTTTTACATTCCGGTTTTGCAGAAGCTTAGAAGTCCTTACAGAAGATAGGATCCGAATCCATTAAGCAAAATTAAAATTTCATTGACATGAGAAGAAAGCACTTATATGTTCAGCTCAGGCAGACAGTCGAATTCCCGAAACGATCTCGAGACCGCAATTCATCTTTATTGTTCAACAGACTAAGACGGTTCTCAGGATTTAGTCCAGAGATTTTTATCAGGATATTTAAAATACGATGATTATGATTAAAATATGTGTGTTTTTTTGTTTTTCTACCAAATTCAACAGGCGTTGCTTTCCCTATCTTAAATAAATCCGGCAGCCATAAATCGAATAAAAGGTTGCATGCGACGAACTATTCATTATCTCCAAAAGGAAACCCAACATGGGTTGGGCGAGTGGGGACGAGAGGCTGAGCAGTCTCAACATGATCCTCATATTGATAGGCGTCTTCGGGTTTGCCGCGGGTTCGCAATGCCGCTTACTGGATCTCGATGAAGGTGAGGAATATTTTAATATAACATATAATATTGGTATTGTCTATCTATTGGTAATATATTAAAATAACCACTTTAATATTCAGTTTTAAAAAAAAATTATCTTTTTATGGAAATTTTCATTCTGAGTTAACTTAATCTATTGTATATATGTATATATACAGATATATTACTAAATCCTAAATTTTAATTATTACGAAACTAGGAACGTTTCATCTTTCGATATCAATTCTGATAGTTTATCTATACTATTTTAAAACAAATAAATATAGGTAATTTTTATTATTTTGTAAATTTAAGGGTCAAATGGATAAAATTGATGTTATATTTTCATAAAAATTGATTTTTACTATTAACATTGATCCGGTTTCGCACAAGTAATAAATTTGAAAAATCTTCTTCTTTCAATTACATGTATGCTTTATACTAGAAAAGGGTAGGTAAATTTTAATTTTTTCAAAACTCAAAAAATACTATGTAACAGCTTCATCCACTAGACTTTTTAATACTCATTTTTGTAAAACAACAATATTTTTTATTATAAAATGAAATTTCGTATTAGCATAATCAAACTGAATTGTTTTGATTTAAGATCTCTACGATGAAATATATTTTTATTTGAACAAATATTTTAAATTTTTTCAATGAATCCTACTAGAAACGTTGTTTAGAATAGAAAAAAAAAACTGTCTTTAAAACTGAAAATAAAGAAATCATTCCACTTCTGAAAGTGTCTTTATTATTAATATAATTAACTATTTCAAATCAACTTCGATATTATAATTATTTATTTTAATATTAAACTTACCGTCAAGGAATGAGGGGAAAATAATTTATTGATTCCTTTTTTTTTTTTATATTGATGCCAATTCAAAGGAAAACAGAGTCTTGACTCTGAGTTTTGGATGCCAAATCCTGATTAGATTGCGTTTATCAATTGTATAATAAGGTCGATTCTTCAAGTTTCTTCCCTTTGAATTTATTCTCATTTTTCACAATTATCACGTCATCAATACGGAAATTAAAATATCGTCGGCACCATGTTAAAGTATCGAATGTGCAACGTAAAACAGGCTCGCATTCGTGACTTTAACATGGCGGCAAAGATATGATCGAATATTATCATAATTGTTTTTTATTTTGTGTGACTTGATATTATTTTCCAGAGGTCATTTTTTTATTTTGAGTGCAATCCTGCTCGTGATTTTTCTGCTTTAGCTCGCTGAACAACATCACAAACATTATGTCATAAACAAAGTATAAATGTTCAAACCTATTGTGTGTTACGTATACTTTTATGCCTGGGCTATGTTTGTTTGGGCAAACTTTCATCACTTTATAAGATTTTCAGGTGCTAGTTTGATAGGAGCAGGAGATGTACTCTTTTTGATTTAAAAAAAAAAAAAAAAATTCAAATGTTTCTATATTAAGCAACCATTTCTTTCCGATGCACCGTTCTCAACAATTAACATATAATTTCATTTTACAAGTATTTATCCGTTCAATGATTTTAAGTAACTAGGTTATAATATGAAATTAATTATTGGCTTATTGAAATTAAATAAAGTCACTATCTAAAATGTGAAAAATCAAGTAAAATCTTAACGAGATTTTTTATCAATCAATATTTACCTTGACATTCCTAGCATAAGTATTTGAGTAATTAGAACATGTTAAAATCCAAGGTTTTACTTATTTCATAGCTTAAAAAGTTTAAATCATATTTTATTTTTTTTAAGCTAAGTTTTTAGAAAAATAATATTGTGATTAGAGCTCGTCGAGAATAAAAAAATAAAAGGCTTCAATTAAAGCAATTAAAATGAATGTTAGTTAAATTATGATTCTACGATAATATTTGTCTTTTTTATTTATTTTAATGCTTCAACCACTAGGGTCATTATTGCCTTATTTTCATTGAGGATTAGATTGAATTTTCAAGTTTAGAGAACATTTTAGAAAAGAAAATAGTTTATCAATTTCATTCTTATTGTCCTGTAATATGAAATGTAGATCGTTTTCAAGTTACAATAGAGTCTAAATGTTTCGTAAGCTCACCATTCTGTTAAAATGTTTCATTGTTAGAGGAGTCTCACAGGTTTGACATGTTGGCGAAGAATCCCGGAGCATCAGGTATCCATGAGTAAGCCGTGTATGACCTATACGCAGGTGCGTAAGAATTACTTCCTCTCTGCGGTTATTCCTATTTGACGATGTCCTAGAGGAAACGTCACCCTTAACCTCCCTCAATTTATTTTCTGTTACATTCAACCATATCTGTTCCCATTTTGTCTTCGTTTTCTTTTGAAGGCCAGTTCATTACCGGTTATTCCGCAATGCCCTGGGACTCGGACAAAAATTACTGATATATTATTTCTATTTGCGTTTATTGAGTACTTTATTGAGTACAGAATGTTTTGTATTATGATATTAGATGAGAAAACATGTCCTAGACTAATTAGGGCGGATAGAGAATCTGTGCATATGACTATTTTTTGTTTAGTGGGCTGTATAACATTTAAACCTTTATGTATTGCAACCAATTCAGCGGTATAATTATTAGATAGTGGTAAAAATAGAAAAAAATATGTTGTCGTTTCTTACATATAATTGATGCTCCCACGCGTGCGGAGCTCTTAGAGCTTTCAGTGTAGATAAAGTCTGAATCACCTAGTCTGTCTTAAAGTTTGGGAAATTCCTGTTTATATGCATAAGGAATTGTGTTGTTTTGAATAAATTTGGTAAGAGAAAGAAGAATTTGTGGAGAGAGAAGTCCCCAAGGATAAATTGGCGAAACTGCAGTTTCTTGAAAAATAAGTTCAATATTTATATTGTTTAGTAAAGTTGAAACTCTGATTGTAAAGGGTGTTCTATTTGTTAATTCAGATTGTTGTTGATTTGTGTATTGTATATTTGAAAATTAATCAGTCAGTAGATGAGCAGAAGCAGAACGGATCTTACCAAAGTAAATGAGGTCAAGTTGTTGTCCCCGTATGTCGAGAGGAGGCTCGCCAGCTTCAACACATAGGATATTTGCAGGGCTAGATTGGAAAGCACATAGGCTTACTCATAGCTATTTTGAGGGCGGCGTTCTGTATAGGATCTAGAATTTTTAAAATGGTAGTCGATGCCGAGTTGTAAGATTTACAGCCATAGTCCAATTTCGATCTTATTGGTGTCCTATACAGGGCTAGTAGCATGCTTTTTCGATCGGCACCACAGCTATTGTTACTGACCATTATTAATAGATTCAGGGAACGAAAGAAATTTTCTTTTAATTGTTTAACTTGCTGAGTCCATCTGAGCGTTCTATCAAAGGTCATTCCTAAGTAAAGTACAACGTGGGAGAAGGTGGCTGATTGATTGTTTATGGTCAGTGATGGTTATAAGTTAGGCTGTCTTCTGCTAAAAAGAATCGCAATTGTCTTACTTGTTGAGATTTTAAAACCATTATCAGCAAGCCAGGTACTGACGTTGTCCAAAGCAGTTTGCATGTTATCTTGTAAGTCCATTTCATGTTTACTCTCGGTATACATTACAAGATCATCAGCATAGAGTAAGCCTATGACAGATAGCCTAATAGCATTCAACACCTGATTAAAGCAAATGTGAAAAAGTGTCAAACCCAATACACAATCCTGGGGCACACCTTCTTCATGTTCGAATCCATGGGAAAAGACATTACCAATCCTAACCATAAAAGTTCTTTTTGTTAGAAAATTATTTATGAAGGCAAGTAAATGACCATCAATTCCAATTCTAACCAGTATGTCAATTATTAGCCTTCTTCATGCCCTATCGAATGCATTTTCTATTTCAAGAAACAGCTAAAATTGTTTTCTTGTTTTCAAAAGCATTTAAAATATCAGTCTCTAAACGACCCAAATTATCTCTCGTACTGCTCCCTCGCAGAAAACCGTTCTGCCAAGGTGGCAGTACATTTTTGGATTCAAGATACCATAATATTCTATTGGTTATTTCTCCATCAATTTACAAATAGAAGAGGTTAAGTTAATCGGTCTATAAAAAGCAAAACCACAATAGATAAGATAACTATTATTATTAATATTTTTTCTAAAAATTATTTTAGACGTAATTACTTTAGAACAGTGTTTGTATATATATATATATATATTCTTTTATTTTTTTTTATTTCTTACGCCTGTTGACTTTGAATTTTTTATCATGAGTCTTCTTTAGCAGCCTTTGGGGCTGTTGTAGGCGACAGCGAAAGTAGTGATCGTTTGGTTCTCTCTCCTTCGACATATCCAGGGAGCACGTGGTTTACTAACCGGACGCGATCACAATTCACTACGAGGAACTTTCCTGAAAGATGGATGGTATTCTTTTACAGCAATCTTCCACCCTGTTTTTTATGGGATAGGGGATTACCAGCTGTATACCCAAATCCCAACCTGGAGGACCAGGAGCTATGATGGCAGACACAGGGTTCGCTCCATAATCGATTTTGCTTCTTGTTTTGATATATATTTTTTTAGAGTATGGAATTGATTGAGAAGCTGATATTAGAAGGCACAGATGCCATTCTACAGTGAATACCAGGACACTCTACTGGACTAGTATAATATAAAAGAATATTCATATCGAAGAGGGAACTGTAGTGTTTCCCAAATACAAGCCCAAGACTCTTCTTGGTCTTGTGCAAGAGTCTCGCAAATAAAGCTAATTGTTGCAAAAGACCAAATGAGGAAAAAAATGCCGTTTAGATAAAAAAAATGTACAATATTTTTTTATTTAACTCTACCAATTTTTTAAATTTATTTATTGTTACATCCCGCATCTATCCGAGCGGATCATTAGCGGTTTTATGTAAGATGTGTATAAGATGTAATCAAATTAGGTGGACAAATTTAATGTCTTTTATAAATTCAAATACTTTTTGTATCTTTTCTTCGTCATCTGAAAGTGCGTCAGGTATGTTGGAAGGTATATTATGTTTTGTTATGGCGTCAGAGTATAGTCTGCAAGTTGTTACAATGTGTTTC